AAGATGCTTAAAAGTTTTTTTTTCTCCTTTGGGCTTATCGGGCCTATAGGGCAGGACAAATCATTAAATTATTAGCCTACATTCCATGGTGACAAGCAACAGTAACAATGAAGAATAACTAAAAAGCTTTGGCATCTGAAATAAAAGAAGTGACATTAGTTTCGGCAGATCTACCAAGTTTATCTAGATCAGTAAAATCTGAGGATTAAAATGAAAAATCTGGCAAATAACAACATTCTTCCGGTCGGGGTATGCACTATATGATGGGTATTTTATTGCATAGATTACTATCCCTATATCAGTGAGATGACATAGACATAAATATGACCTCAATTGCGTAATATGTGGGTAACAGTTCAATGCCAACCAGTCTAAAAATTTATCACTAGTTCGATCAGTTTCCCAAGATTGGTAATGCATTGTTTGTTAATTAAATTCAGAGAGTGCTTGAAAGTTTTGTTTACTTTTTATTAGTTAAGTACTAAAACGATGCTTGACATAAAAGACACTTAAAACATCTATGACCCTTGTATTTTAAGACCAAGTAACGACAGAATCCTTCAAATAATAAAAAAATATTGTGTATTTGACACTTGATTGGAGCTTACTCAGTAAAGCATCTCTTAAAATCAGCCTTGGTGCTGAGGGGAAGAGGGCTGGGAGAGGCAAAATTTCCAACCTCCTCTGGCTAAGATCATGACATAAGGCATGAATGGAAGCTAGCACTAAATACAATTTTACAATAACTGAGCGAATCCTCGCGCGCTGATTGGTCGAGAGCCATGGCCTATGAGAGTATAGCCCATAGAAATGACGTAACATGTCACGCAGTGCCGGTTGTTTTGTTTTTTGTTTTTCGTAAAAATAAATGTTATTGTAAAAAACAAGTTCGACTTCAATTTTCCATGGTCTACACTCTTATAGACCATAGAAATGATGCCATAAAATGTTCAAAACTTCGCAGTGAAACCACTCGCCTACGACTCAGTGTTCCACTTGAGTTTTGAACATTCTATGACGTCATTTTTATGGTCTATAGGAGTGTAGATCATGGAAAATTGTGGTCGAATTTGTTTTTTACAATAACATTTAATTTCCTGTGTATCACTTGCTCTCTATAAATTCCGCTATTATTTTGCGTCATGATAACGAAGTCACAATATACAAGTGTTCACGTACTAGATCGATGAGTATTCATAAACAGTGTGGTGACGTAACATCATGTTCCATAGAAACGTCAAAACTTAATTGTTTATTTTACAACCCGATATAAATGCACAGTGGCCAGTTCCAATTCAATGTTTTGTCAATGACATGAAGTATCATCTTTGAAGGTTTTATAATACAAATAGTTCAACGCACACATTTGAAGAATCAATGGAGTTTTCGAATGTTGTCTTCTTTGCACTGTCCTTTTGGTCGGTCGTCATCCGTAGCGTGTGTTCAGGTACGTTTCTGTTTCTCTTTACTTATTTGCATCACAGAATGGAACATTGCAGCCATTGCATTGTCTCAATACAGAGAAAATTAGTTCAGTGCAACCATGTAGATGCTATCTTCAGACGGGAGAAGTGGATTTTCATTCTATGCATTTCTTGAGAGGCCTCAAGAGTAGAACTTCTTTATAATTAACACATTTTAAGTGGAATCTAAGACCATAAGGCCCATGCATATGACATCTACTTAAAGGTTCTAGAAATCCAGTAGAGCATAAAATAGTGAGTAGAAAGAAAGAATATCATGCCTAACAACTGTCTCTGTTCCAGTTCATGAAGCGTGCAATATAATAACACGTATCACTAGCACTGTGCTAATTTAAGCGTGCATTAGTCACAATAATGCTAACACAAAAGGGACATGATTGGACAATATTTTCTATAACTGATTTAAAAATACAATCCTTGAAAAAGTCTGCCCGTCATGAGAATCCTGTCTCTTTCAATTCGAGAAAAAACCCTGAAATAAGAACTTTACCACCACCTTAGGGTAGGGCACCTTGTGTGAGTTTCAGCCGGACCTTTGGATTTATTTTTGTTCTGTTTTGTTGGCTTAGAAAAAGACTTCTTTTGCTTTTAATTTTTCTTTGTCTTTGTTAAAATCTAACCCTTAGAAATTTGGACGACACATTGTAGTCACATACATCAAATTTTGCCATAAAATTCCCGTTATTTATTACTTTGTCCTAATAAATAGGATAACGTAAATCTAAATGATTTGTTTGGGTATAGAGGGTAAAATTCATGGTCTTTCAAGTGTCTTTAGAAGGCAATTATAAAAAAATTCTGGAACGACCGGCTGATGACAAGGGATTATGTTTTTGTGGTAGATAAAGTTACAATCCGGTTTTTTGTTGTTTTACATAATGTATTGTTATTTTAGCTGATTAGATGGATTTGTTTTGTGTTTGTTAAATAATTGGATTAGAAAGTTTAAAAGTACGGTAAAGACTCTAAAACTGAAATGACGTTCTTTTAACAAACCATATCGTTTTTTAATTAATTCATCATTGTTCTAGTTTGAATTGCTACAGCAATGTTACTGTGAGCCAGCAATCTTGGACAAAATGAAATGGAACAACAAACACCCCCATCCTCTCGAAACAAGGATGGAGCCGTGCGAAGGTCAAAACGCGCCATTTCCCCATCCTTCCTTTTTTTCGGAGAGCATTTATTTTTACATTAAGTGATCACGTGACTTATCTCATAGGCTCTCTCTTGTCGACTGGTTAGGAAACAGATATTGCCATTAACTAATTAAAATTCTGGGTATTTTTTTCGGTGAATTCGATGTATTATTTACAATTACAATTTGTTTTTATTTCATTTAGCGGCTTCCTGTAAAGATAACGATGTGAATTGCCATAAATGGATAAAGTTCTGTGCTAGTTACCCTAATATAAGAAAGCAGTGTCCATTTTATTTGCATCACAGAATGGAACATTGCAGCCATTGCATTGTCTCAATACAGAGAAAATTAGTTCAGTGCAACCTTGTAGATGCTATCTTCAGACGGGAGAAGTGGATTTTCATTCTATGCATTTCTTGAGAGGCCTCAAGAGTAGAACTTCTTTATAATTAACACATTTTAAGTGGATTCTAAGACCATAAGGCCCATGCATATGACATCTACTTAAAGGTTCTAGAAATCCAGTAGAGCATAAAATAGTAAGTAGAAAGAAAGAATATCATGCCTAACAACTGTCTCTGTTCCAATTCATGAAGCGTGCAATATAATAAGACGTATCACTAGCACTGTGCCAATTTAAGCGTGCATTACTTACAATAATGCTAACACAAAAGGCACATGATAAAACAATATTTTCTGTAACTGATTTAAAAATACAATCCTTGAAAAAGTCTACCCGTCTTGAGAATCTTTTCTCTTTCAATTCGAGAAAAAACCCTGAGATAAGAGCTTTACGAGCACCTTAGGGTAGGGCACCTTGTATGCATTTCAGCCGGTCCTTTGGATTTATTTTTGTTCTGTTTTGTTGGCTTAAAAAAAGACTTCTTTTGCTTTTAATTTTTCTTTATCTTTGTTAAAATCTAACCCTTAGAAATTTGGACGACATATTGTAGTCACATACATCGAATTTTGCCTTAAAATTCCCGTTATTTATTACTTTGTCCTAGTAAATAGGATAACGTAAATTTAAATTTAAATGATTTTTTGGGTATAGAGGGTAAAATCCATGATCTTTCAAGTGTCTTTAGAAGGCAATTATCAAACAATTTTGGAGCAACCGGCTGATGACAAGGGATTATGTTTTTGTGGTAGATAAAATAACAAACCGGTTTTTTGTTGTTTTTCATGATGTATTGTTATTTTAGCTGATTAGATGGATTTGTTTTGTGTTTGTTATATAATTAGATTAGAAAGTTTAAAAGTACGGTAAAGACCTTAAAAGGCAGAAATGACATTTTTTTAACAAACCATATCGTTCTTTTAAAATTCATCATTGTTGTAGTTTGAATTGCTACAGCAATGTTACTGTTAGTCTCCTTCGCAGACGTTATTAGGGTCGTCACGCTGCGGAGCGTTGCGTGACGACCCTAATAACGGCTGCAAAGGACGCTATGTTACTGTGAGCCAAAATGAAATGGAACAACCAACACCCCCATCTTCTCGAAACAAGGATGGAGCTGCGCGAAGGTCAAAACGCGCCATTTTCCAATCCTTCCTTTTTTTTCCGGAGAGCATTTATTTTCACATTAAGTGATCACGTGACTTATCTCATAGGATCTCGCTTGTCGACTAGTTAGGGAACAGATATCGCCAATAATTATTTAAAATTCTGGTTATTTTTTCGGTAAATTCGATGCATTATTTACAATTACAATTTCTTTTTATTTCATTTAGCGGCTTCCTGTAAAGATAACAATGTGAATTGCCATCGGTGGATAAATTTCTGTGCAAGTTACCCTAATACAAGAAAGCAGTGTCCATTAACGTGTAAACAATGTGGTAAGTATCATGCTTTTTGTTCTGTAAACAGGCCAACCTAACTGTAGATGAAAAGAACTTGTTCCTCGCAGTGAAGCTCACTGAAATCAACAACCTAAGCTGTTGAAACGAAACCTGAAAAAAAGCACGCTCGAGAGGTTTAAAAAACCGCCAATATAAACTAGTTAGCCTACGTACAGCCACCTCCTCCCCTCAAACATAATACACAACAAATAAAACAAAAAATAATACAAAATACAACAGAAAAAGGGGTGGCCGAGGTCAACTTAACCGACTGCTAAATTCGCCTTATGAGTTCAGGCTATAGTGTAATGTGCTGGGGGTATCATCTTTTTTCTAAATCTAAGCATTGCAAGACAAAGCCTACTGCTTTAGGTGCTAAAAGATACTTTGCCCATCGAGGAGAAAAAACTACACTCGAGCACTACAAATACAAGTAATCGGCGAATCAGATCACGTGTAACTTGCACCGGTGAGCTCGCCGTTAAAGTGAACGGACTAATCATAGTCTGACTAATAAAGTGACGTATTATACTCTATTTCTTTACAGAAATTCCGCCCACAATGCCGACGTCTCCATCACTATTTCCTTCTTCATCGCCGTGGTCACCACCACCAACGCCAACGCCATCATCATCATCATCATCATTGTCGTCATCGTCATCATCATCATTATTATTATCATCATTATCAACATCATCATCATCTTCAGTGCTATCTGCGGGTTCATCGTACAGTTTTGCCCCAACGCGAACTACCACGTTCTTAAATCCAAGTACTCCTGACATCAACGGCACATGGAATAATAATCGCACAAAAACAGGTTCCACTGCATCTACAACAAACGCTACAGAAGCAAGTACGCTGATGTCGATGCTATTATGGTGTAGTTATTTCTTATCTTGTTGGTGATAAAGAAGCAAAGATATTGTAATTTACTTAAAAGTAGGCCAAGGGCAAGAGGGAATCAGGATGAGGATTTTCATTAACAAGTAGCTGGAATAGCCATGTGAGCAAGTTCTCTTGGCGATGTTCGACTCGGTTCGAGTGTGAGCTATCTCGCAGAATATGTGCAAAACCTTGCACTTAGTGTCATATGATGTTCTTAGTATTCGGATCACCATATCTTCAAAATACATGTACAGATATGAATGTAAATAAAAGTTCACGCGAAATGTTAACTGTGTCATGTGTGTTTTTATAAAAAGCTTCTCTCGTCCCTGTATGAAGCGTTATCAAGTGCTAAATCATTACTCGCCCACCGGCTGCAACGTAAAGAATAACACATTTCATAAATGCAGCTGTATTTAGCGATTGTTGGTTCCTTATTCTCTACCATGCAATTCTATTCAGTGTCGATTCCGAAATTGATAATACACAATGCAGTACGGATACTTTTTTGGAGACATTACATTAATTCTTATACCACCAACGGCTCAGTATAGGCCAGCAAATGTCTTATTTTGACAGCTGTCAAAATTTGATCTGACTGGCGCATATCACTTTTATGACATACTGTATATTCTCACATTCTTCCCTGGATAGGAGTGACATTCCACATTGGTTTACGATGCGTGGAAGGACGAATGGAATTGAAGAGTCACAGACAAGCGGCAAAAACTCTAATCCTACATTTTCTTATACAGTCACATCCTGCTTTACGGAAATCTTTTTATTACGGACAGTTTGCTTTGTCCCTGCGGGGAAAAGACCTTTCATTTCCTCAAATTTCAGCCCGCTTAATACGGACACTTTCTGTGGTCCATTTAGTGTCCGTATTGACGAGGTTTAACTGAGTTACTGTAAATTGACCTTAGTGTTCCGTTGATGCGAGCAGTAAGTCTTAAGACACTGCGCTTGAAGTACTAAAAAGTACTTATTTAACCGAGAGCTGAAAAAATAAGATGTTTCAGGTCTCGAAGAGGTGTGGCTTATCCCTTGCCAACACCCCTTACGTCAGACACTAGCAAAATATTAAATCGTATGTAAAAGTAAAACACAACTAATTCAAGTCTCGCAACACTGCAAAACTATAAAAAGGGTTCGTGTTGTCAGTGTTGTATACTCGTGCTGCCTGCACTACCACAGAGATTAAACCAGTCTGAAAGCAAAAAGGGAAAAATCAACATTTATGAAAAAGTACTGCTCGTGCAATTAGATTTTCATATGTATTTTGCATTATTGAACGTTACAAAAAGACTATTGATTACCAGGATAAAGACGAAAACGCTAATATAAAGTTGTGACGTGTTAGTTGTTGTTGTTGCTTTTGTTCTTTTTTTAACTTAAATACAAGGGACTGAGGTTTAGAAGTCATAATAGGAGTTATATCTACACCTATGAGAATTTAATGCCAACGGTTTGAATGGGATCAGGAATCAAAAGTTCTTTTTATTAGTAAATTAAATCATTCCAGCTACAAAGAGCGGAAGAGAAACAACTCTCTTCCCTGTCGTGGACAGTTCTTTTGGTGAATCTCATTGAAAAGAATTCGAAATTTCATACAATTCCGTATGAATAAAAACAGACACCTCTGGCTTACTCTCTTTTTGAATCTGTACCGAGGAGGTCATTGTCAGTTTTCTTCATCATCATTATGTCTCGTCGCGCCAGTAGGCACATAAGGCCTCCATTGTCAGTTCTAAAACATTATCAGTTTTACTTTTTATATTTTGAAAGTAACAAGGGGAATTACTTAAACCATCCGTCAGGATACTTCAATTTACCTTTCGTAAGTGGGTGGAGTGTGTTCTTTAGATAAAGCTGTATATTCTCCATCAGAACCGCTGGTAGAAACAAACAAATAATTAAAAAAATAAAAATAAATTGCACTGTACAAAAATGTCTCGGGAGTCTTTTAAACCTTTACATGGAGCAGGAGAGAGTAAGCCGGTGATACATTTTCACTTAAAAAATACTGATCTTTAGAAAGAAGAAGGCAATATATTACCTGACGTATAGAATGTTATCAATGGATTTTTCATTCATGTCCTTGTTGTTACTGGAAAAAAAAAAGAAGCTTAATTTTTGCAAGTACTTGCAGAGGGCTTAAATGATGAAGGAACTACTTTGTCAACAATTTTGTATTATGTGGTTTACCTGGGTTTATCGGCCAGCATCTTGACTTCCATTTCGCTCGAGTTGGGAATTGACAGTTCGGTACTTCTCGGATCACAGTAGCTGTGAATGAAAGAAAATAATGGATATTTCTACAAATTAAATACAAATGAACAAAATTCTGGCCATGAAGGAGTTAAAAACCCACGAAAAAGTTCTCTGTTTGAAAATTGCGTGATTAATGGGTCATGCATGTACCAGCCGCGAAATAGTGATTTCTTTCAAAACTTGTATGGGTCCACTGCAACGGGTCGAACCCACGTCAGATTCATAGCCAGTCGATACTTACTGTTCTTCTCTCAAAGGAATATGGTAAAAAGGTGGAAAAGCTTCGTGTTTTTCTTCCTTCCTTCCCTTGATGGGCTGCGAACTCACATGGCAAATCCTTCTCATTAACCACCGCGCGAATACAGATAAGCGACTGGGTACGAGTCTGAACCCCCGTTATCCCGCTCTGTAAGGTCTGCGCTCTAAGCTAATTCCGCAGGCCACGAGCACCGTTTGATCGATAAGCCTGCAGCGGTCAGTTTAATAAAACGTTTACTGTTCTTTACAAGTCTAGCTATTGTGTTAAACTCTAAAACAGTGGCTACTCTTGTTATTTTCACACACTTGTAAAAATTTTATCAAATTTACCCCTGAATAACACACAGCTGCGCGCTGTGTGAATAGTTATAATAGTTATAATATGTTGCGGATTTTTTAAAAAATAGTATTGACAAAAACACACCTATTGTCGTCAGCCGTCACTACAGCTAAGCCGTCCATCATATCTGAAGTACCAGTTCCAGTCTTGTTATATTCAACATGACACTTTCCATTATCGCTCTTCTCAGCATCTCTTTTTTCTTTGCTGATACAAAAAAAAACATCCACGAAAAAGTGACGAGCAATAGAAACATCAGCCAGTAAATTACTGGCCAACAGAAAGAGACAGCGAGTTTACGCTACAGTCAGCCACTGTACGCCTAGACTTTTCGCTACTTAAACGGTGAAGCATAGGGCAAATGATCGAGATTACAAAAAAGGGCCGAGGGAGAGTTTTCTTACAAAGTTTTTCATAACCTCCCATTTCTACACGCAAATGCAGCGGAACACGTGAAATTACGACCTTTTTGGCGCATAGTCTCACGGCGTTTAATTCAGCAGTCTCGATACAAGGGGGCGTTCAACTCCGATAGGGAAACGAAGAGAAAAAAGCAGAGTAAATCTAGAATGAAATAACTAAGATTACTGGAACTAATTGGGGCTCTTTCTAATGAAAACTGAACCAAATCATGATACCATGGTCGCCTTAACTGATTTAAACTACCTTAAATGTTTTCTTCTCCGTTGTACGAATAGATACAGCAGAACCACAAAGAACATCACCAAAACAACAGCTAAGATAACGCTGACCGCAATTAGAGCATTTTTATATGCGTTATCCCCATTCTCTGTTTGACGACGAGGCGCATTGTTTCCAGTAGGATGTTCTTGTAAGGCCCTGGTTTGAGCAGCGGATGTTACTATTCTTCTTGAGGTTATGTTTGTTATTTTGTTGGTAGTCTCTGTTGCAGTCGATTGCGTTGGGGGAAGGACAGCTATCAAACAGGAAAATAATGATGAAACAGTAAACCTCCGTATATCTATTTTTGCTTAGCACTAAAGTCACCAAAAATCTAGCTTGGACCAGACTTCACTTGAGTTGCTGAACTTTTCTCAGTTTCCACTAATACTCCGTTCACAGGCAGCCACCGGAGGGAAATTAAGAGGTTATGTCCGGCCACCTGCAGATATTCCTACCCAAGACCAAGGAAAGTATACTAGGGTTGGTATTCCAGAGATTTATTACACCCTGGTATTCCTTTAACATCCAACAGACTTAGATAAAGTGGAAGCACTGCAAGACAGTGTCGCCTCATGTAAGGTAGTCCGGGTTTTGCTTGTGGAATCCATATTACTGGAAATTCAGCTCAAGGAATGGAATCCAGAATCCACCGACAAGGAATACCGATTCCAGGTAAGTGGAATCCAAAATCCAAGACTGTCCTGGATTTCCTTACATTAGGCAAGACGGTGCCTTCGGTGTTTCGTCTTCGTCGGAGAAGACTAGAAGGCAAAATAAAACAGTTCAACACTGAAGGCAAATGCAATAAAAGGCACATATCGTATCAACCAGAACTGAGGTTATATGCATGGTGAAACTGAAGGAAAATAAGAAACTAACAGTTACGAATCGGTGCGGACAAAGTACACTGACTGGATAGTATGAAACTGTATTATTAACGTATATAATTCAATGCCTACCTGAAGAGTTATGGCATGGGCACAGCCTTCGAACGTTTGAATTGTTAGCCGTGTGACAGTCAATACTACTAGGTATAGCCTTGAATCCAGTGCATCTACCAGCCCACTGCAGATTAACGTCCATTTGTGGCAAACTTGATATATAATTTGGTTGGTCTCGGTAGAAGTAAAAATCTGTATAATCACTTGTTTCACAAGTTATTCCCAAAGACTGAAATATGGATAAAGCAGATGAGTTTGGAAAGCTCTGGCCCGTTCCGGCACATTGAAGACCAAACGAGGCGCAAACTGAGTCACAATTCTGTCTCCCACAAGTCGCCATGAAATACTTGATACCTAGAAGTATAGTAAAGCTTCAAGTCTTCCGGGCTTAAGCGCTGGCCATACGCACGGAAAAGCTAACTGAGCCAAAGGAGACCGATTTGTTCATTAAACAGTTTTTAAGATTGCCTTAGTATTGTTATTATTACATTATTCAATTCCAACATAACACTTTGAAGGCAAGCTAATTTGTATCAGAGATAGATGATTAGTCAAGGGCTTATGACTTCCTAAGCGGAGTCATAAGCACGACGGAATCGGAGTCAGAAGAATCATAACGTTTCCATTTCTTCTGACTCCGCTTACGACTCGATCGCTTATATTACGTTCCGCTTATGATCTAGTGAAAACCAGATTGTCGGAGTCGCGGAAGCACAAGCGGAAGGATAAACCAATCACAATGCACACTCCCACGCTTTGTGATTGTTTTAGTTCTTCCGCTTCTGTTTGCGACTCTTCACTTGATCCTGTAAAACCATAGTCCTAAGCGCAATCAGAACTGGCTGTTAAATCGTAAAGTTCTAAGGTTCTCATAACGAATCCGACTCCGACTCCGTCTCTAGTGAAAACCAGCCTTCAAGGATCAATGAAAAGAACACTGAAGAAGACTAATAAATTATGGATAAAAATAAATTTCCCTGTTGCAAATTACGGATTAAAAAATGTGAAAAAGTGAGGATTTCCATGACTTCATTTCCCGCTCAAACTGTATGTTGTTTGTACACAGTTTGCGAAATGAGAGCGATTAGATTCGTGAAGTTATTTGAAGCTGACATAAAATCTTTCTCTGAGGAGCAAGAGAATGTTTATGCGCAGAAGAAGGCTTTGTACGACTCAAAATTATTCAAAGAGTTCCTTACAAGTGAAGACGAAAGGAGAGAACTTTAAGAAATTCCTGCAACTGAACTACAGCAGTTCGCGATAAAGTTTGTGCTGGGAGTAAGAGAGAAAAATGGTACCTAAACACTCTCGTCTATGCAACTAGCAGTAATCGTACTACAGTGCGTTGCCTTAGGTCTCTCTAATGAAGCTCAGTTTTCTAGGTCAACAGCGAAGTTAACTGTGTCTGGTACAACAACATTTGTTTGACGCAATGGCCACCGAGTACGCCGACTCGGTTTATTTGCTTTGTGACTGCAGTGGGTCAGAGTGCGAGTGCAATGACTCCGTTTATCTGGTATGTGCGTGACCACAATGGGTCATTGTGCTTAATGGCCAGAGAGTACAACGACTCGTTTCATTCGATCGCCTGATCTTATTACGGGAGCCCAGCCGAAGGCTGGTACCGGTCTTAAAATGCAGACGGTTCGTTTTTTCAACGTTACATTGTTAGGGATATATCGCTGACTGAGATATATCACTGGCTCATTGAAATCTTTTGAAAAGCACGAGGCATGGAGGACAGTCAAGAGAAAGGTTATAGCTTTTTGGGGAACGACACGTTCCCCAACCTTTACGATGCACTAGTTTATTGGAGAGACAAATTTACGAGCGATCACTTAAGAGTAAACCTTCCATCGTGAAACTTATCGAGAATAAACGCGACTTATCAAAGCTATCTACATTGAGTGAACCTAACTTTATATCATCTTAAAAAACGTGCTACAAGGCGATCTAGACGTGCTCGTGAACCGAGCAGAATTCCACTGCTATTTCTAAGAGGTCTCAACAAGAAGAATAGCATGTTGAAGAAATTTGTCTTCAAAAAGATTTCAACGATTGACATACCGAAGTCTTCAAAGCTCCATCGCTATGTTAATAAGGTGAGAAAACTTTATCATGCACGATATAAA